AAAAAAAGTGGACAGACTGAGAAGGGTTGTGATGAGATGACTTGGCCAAGGCCCTGCAGCAGGTGAGCAACTGGCAGAGGTTGGAGTAAAGTCCGAGTCCCAGGCTCCAGACCAGTTACTGACCCTTGCTAGAAGTGCTTCTTCTTACTTATCCTAGGGTGACCTTTATGGCGTTTTCCCACACATAAGAAAGAGTTCATAAGGTAAACTTGTACCACCTTTTCTGTAACAAAGTATTTCTTTCCTGACTTGTGTAACCCAATTGAGATGAGGTGGACTTGGCCGTGTTACTGCTGGTCTCTGTATAGTGTGAATACAGCTCCTTGAAGCTCAACTTGAAATGTATTAAGGTTGTTTTCTGCAGAAGTGTGTAGGAGACATGGAACACATCTAAAGCTTTTTTATGATCTTTCTCATAGCAGGGTGAATCTGTTTTATGATGTCTTACAGGCTCAATTAAAGCATCTTCCTTTAAATAGGAATTCTACCAGTTCCTACCTTTGCAAGGAACCGGGTCCCTATTGTTAATAATAAAAGCTTTATATGCTTGCCTACTTCTGTTCTCTATGTGAAAATGGAAAATACAGGGAATAAAATCATTGGATTTGATCAATAAGTGAAGAATGTGTCCTTAGAGCTGCCCATTGAACTGATTTTGTATTGTTAAAGATAAATGGGTCACCTAATTTCCTGATACATATGAGTGGCTCTCCAAGCAGTGTCTAGCTGTCTGGTTGCTGGATACTGGGCATTTGAGCAGGAAAAATAATGTTACATTCATCAATGTATTTGTCATAATTTGTGTGATGCTCTTGATAAAAGCATCAATTTGAGCTTGTTGCTTGCAGGAAAAAGCTTATAGGGTATTTTACACAGCTTTTGTGTTGGGAGGAAGAATGTTTTTACTAGGCTAATTGCACTTGCTGGAAATAGAAAAGGTCTCTAGTGTTGTCTGTGTGTAATCTGTTGACTCTGCTTTGCATTTCAGTTACTGAGGGCAACCTGTATGATTTTGAGTTGGAAAGAAAAGTCCTAAACGGCTATTTGAAATTCAGTTTTAAAACTGTTAGGTGTTTTTACTTTATAATTGTTAGCTTGAAGTTTGTAAATTCTTAGGCTCATTTCAGTATCTGGAAAGGGGGAGAATGTTTTAGTCCATCAGTTACTGTAATGTTCTTAATTTATTCATTATCATTTGGACACCTGAAACCCACTTAAAAGGTGCTGAGATGTGCAATGTTGTAACTTCCAGGTGTTCTCTTTTTAAAGAAAAATACTAACGAATTGTATTAAAATATACTGCATTTTTTCAGTGTCCATTTTTTATCTACTATCAATATATTCAGTATTCTAAAGGAAATTATAACTTTAGTTTGCCCAGAATTGTGGTTTTTGCTGCCTGGGGCTACTGATATCGATAACTTTAGTTTGCCCAGAATCGTAGTTTTTGCTGCCTGGGGCTACTGATATCCCTCATTGTAACACTCCAGCAAACATGGAAGGAGTCAAAAAAATTATTGAAATGATGTTGTGCAGTGCAAAATGTACATAATTTCTGCACTTTTTTTTTTGCTTGTTTTGTGATTTTGGGTTTGTTTGGAGGGTTTTTTTGGGGGGAGACACACAGGCAACAGCATGTAATTCTTGTGTTTTATTATATTGCACTCATCCAATTACATTAAAAACCACCAACAAAGGTGCAGTGTTCATGATCCCTGGGCCTGTAAAGCCAGTCATTATTTTGCAGGCCTCATTAAGGCAGAAGTGCCCAGCTTTCTCCAGTGGATTTATCAAAGCTCTGCAAATGTCCCAGAAAACAAGGCTTCAAGGACTGGATGTGCTAGTTCAAATGCTTCTTTTCCTTCCTCCCCTCAAAACTGTTTTGATCTTAAATTAAGTTTTTGCAGAGGTGAAGTCATACATTATTTTCTAATGAAAAGCAGATGAGTGACATTAGAAAAAAATGGAATAAAGAAAGGAAAAAAGCTGAAGATAGTCAAAGAAAGGATTGAACTAAGATTTAAAACAACTCAGCAATTTAAGCCACTGAGGAATGCACATTGCATATTCACTGCAAAATACTTGCACTGTCAACATCTCCTGTGAAAGCTAAGTTTTAAAGAGGACCTTTTTGGGTTCTGTTTCCCTTTGGCTAACAGAACATTTATGCTGATTCTGGTGTTTAATAGATTAACAAAAAACCCCCCAGCCTAGTGGTTGTTTGAGAAAGGTCTGTGGAATAATTGGAACAATAAAAATTAACAGCTGCTACAAAAAGATCTGGCAAGGAAATACCAACGAGGGCAGAAAAAAGCTGCCGTTGAGCACGCCGTTTTTATTCTTCTGTGGGTGGGTTGATACTTATTTTTGGCAGTTTAACTGAGCTGTTACCAGGATTCGTACATCTGTTTGTTTGCATCTTTGCTGTTAATTATTGTGTGACACTAAAGTTTGTATAGTTACTCACTGTTTATAGTTTTTAGGCTTGATAGTAAACATTGTGTGGAGAGCTTCTGCGAAATACTGCTTCTACTCGGAGAAGAAAATTCTCAAAAAAATCATGCTTAGTTTGAGGAGGGAGTTTTGGGTGTGTTTCATTGTAGTATGATTTAAGGCAATTAATAAGAATTATATTATGTCAGTAATTTACAGTGTTGAACATTTGTCCAGACTGCTGCATAGGAAGGATTGAACCTTACTTCCCTAAAATAATATTCAGTTATTTTTCTTGAGCTTGACAACTCCTTCACAATTTTCTCTTGCATTTTCATTGGCAATAATCTCATTTGCTGCCTTTTTTTTTTGTATTGACAGTTTCTCTATCCTTGTCTCAAATGCAAAAAACTTTAATGGCCACGTTGTCTTTCCCACAAAGCAAATGGCAAACGTGCATTCTATATTTGGCATTGGATTTGTCTAGGTTGAGATGTTAATTGAACATGGGGTTTCATGTCATCTCACAGATGTCCAAAGTCCTCACACCAGGACAATCTGTGGTTCACAGGTATCAATCACTCAATCACTGATCTCTCTAGTCATTAAACTTTAAGAGGTCCTTTAGGGCTGGATGACAAACAAAACTAAAACTGGCTCAATGCCTGTGAAACTGTGTAAGAGACAGTTTCTTCTGTAAAAGAACATTGGGCTGCCTTCAGTTCTCTGGCAATCCAATTACTTATGGAAAGCATGATAGAAAAAGGACATAAACTTCACCGTGAATCTTTTCAGGCTGCATTTTGAGACTTAAAAAAAATAAAAATTGTTTTAATTTTCCATTTAATACTGAAACCTCCCTGATGTCATATTATAAATACATGGAGTGACAGGTGGTCTGCACCCACACAGTAATTTTGGAGAACCAGGAGGTTCAGGCAATGCTGGTTGTCCCTTTTTCAAGGGAAATATGTGGAGGAGTATTTGCTGGGCACTTGCAGGCGGTTTTCTGAGTCATCCTGGTGGCTCTGGCTGCTGAACATGCCACTCACAGCCCTTGGTACCTGCCAGGCTGCCCCAGGGACGGGCAGAAACCCGTGACACTGAGGGCCGGGAGCTTAGCCAGATAAATGCTTAAGTGTTAGAGGTGATAAAAACATCATGTGATGCTCAGCAAACTGCAGGCAGCAGTTATTTTGGTGCTCAGGTTCCTGAATATTGAAATTACTTTAGAAGAACAGTATACTAACCCTCTACAAAGCTGTCAGTGTTAGGAGCTGTCAAGCTGTGATCCTTTCTGCTTCTCTCGGGTGCTTCTTCCTTAGGTAGGATGGGATTTGGAAATTTAAAAGGAAAATGAAATAGGTTCCTGAAATAGACTGCATTAAATGTATGCAGAAGTGGTTTTATAAAATGACACATTATTGCTGGATATATTAACATCACAATTTTTCCTACTAAGGTTGTTTCAGCCATAAATATTATGCAGCAATTGGCATACTTTCCTAACTGAGGTCTTGGCGGTGCAATTTCATCAGTATCTTTTCACAGCCCAGTGCACAGACGTCCCTGAACAGTGGAAAAGCAGGCTTTCCTTTCTATTAGGTCTTCAGACAGGAGTATTAATGATGTTAGAAGAACTTTGCCATAAAAATAACTAAGATCTTTCTGATATGCACAAGAAAATCCCCTCCTAGCTCTTCTTTGGGGTAACTGGAATCGGTGCTTTTAACTTCTAAATGATTTGGACTCAATTACCAAAGTCACCACCTCTGCCTTCCCTTTTAGCTACAATCTTTCCGTGGTGTTTCACACTCAGCCTAAATAAACTTCCCAGAGAAAGCAGCAGGTTGCAGTGGTAGTGTCACTGCCTTTGACAGCTGTCGCTTTTGTGGCCAAGCCTTGCCTCAGACAACATTCTTTAATAGTGCAGTTGTTGTTTGGTTATTTCAGCTTTAGTTATCCTGCGTGGGTTGTCATGTTTTCTTGTGGCTGGTGTAGCTGATGAGGGAGTGATAAATGTGTTGCCTGTTAGATAACCAGTTTATGTCTAAATCATTAAAACTGTCTCGGTGGCAGGATCTGTGCATATTGATATACCAGGAAATGTTTGAATACTTCTTTCACTAGAGCAAGGGCTCTCTGTAAGGGAATTGGCTGGGGTTGGTGTATGTATTCTGCTTACCAGAACTGTGTTTGTCCCTCAGTTTGGGGTACTATTCTATTTCTATTTCTAGAAAATAAGGGCTAGTAATGTGGCAGCTAAAAAAATTAAACCCAAGCAAAACAACAGCAAAACTCCCCAGACCCCCTTTCCCTCAGCATCCAGCACCACACCCTGCCCCCCTCCCCCCAAAAAAGCAACTTAATAATGTTTCTATTTATTTCTTTTGAAATAATGCAATTTCAGCAACTTCCTGTGTGGCTTTACGGTGTTGATCGATATCCCTTTGCTTTGATTTCAGGCTGAGGAATCCTGTAAATGCAATGGCTGGAAGAACCCCAACCCTCCTCCC